CATCTAGTTACCATGGATCCAAGAGAAATCGTTGATGATGTCTCTCTTTTTTCTGAAAATGTCCATCTCTGTATATTCTTCAAAGACTTTGTTCATGAAATTGTTGCACTCATCAAGGTCAGGCAAATTAGTATGGAGACTTTGAAGACTACACTTGTTTGGATTTGAAGTAGAGCTGGTTTGGTCTCACATAACAGGTCCAAGCATATCTTGGCAAGGCACTATTATTATAATCATAATAATAATCGGCTTCTGGATTGCCTACCTGCAACATGGGTATCATCTTAGTACATTATGTTCATGTATGCTTGAGATGTATAAGATAAGTACGTGCAGCCTAATGGTGCTGATCAATTTTAGCCCCCAATCCAGTAAAGCATAAACATGGGGGATTATTCTTACCATAAAACCTTTGAGATGATTAAGTATATTTGTATGTCCTTGTGTTGATCATAGACAAACCCTGCTCCACAAGTTATGGTACATGGTGGCCTGCAATAATAAGGAATGATTTACAGAGCATTTACATAACTATATGTGCAAGTATGAAAGAGAACCCCAAAACTTACTGCCTGCGAAACTCCCTCCTTACATGAAGAAATCTTGGGTTTTGATTGGTGGATATCTTTGAAGCCAGTTCAATAGGAAATTATGGGCACTGTGGGCTAAGTCCAAGAGGGGCTAAGTCCAAGAGAAACTTTCTTTCTTGTCAAATAAACCCACAAACTTGGTGACAGCAGAAGGCATATTGGTTCAAAACACAACTCTAACCAGGGATTCCACAAAAAGCAGATTATTGGCTTCTGCAAGAGAAGTTGAATTCAGCTATATATCAAACTATCAAACAATTCAAATGCCCCGGGTTTCATTTGAACAGATGGTTGAAAAATGGAAATATCAAAGTAGGTGAAAATGATAGCTAACCTCTATTTCAATCATATTTATTGAAACAAAGGCGAATTCCAATTCTGCCAACTCTAAGAGGACCCGATTCCACAGCACAGCCGCATTGTACCCTATTGAGGAACCAGCAGGTCCTTCAACGGCAAAAGGACAATTATCCAATTAGACCATACCCAAAGCACCAGAAAAATAGAAAGGCTAATTTTTATACCAACTTACATATACATTCATATAACTGCCATTAATCTCATCCTTGTACAAAGAAATCCCAATGGCCAATTCTTCAAGCAAACTTGCTGCCATAAGGTTGGAGAGTCCCTCAGCCAGTATGGAGAAAACATGGTACCAATGATCAAGTAAACAAATAACAGCCATGACATCCATTAATGACCACATTGGAGAAAAGACAATATTAAATCCTCTAAAATTGAATCTAAAACCACTTAATGTTGGATGGAAAAGTGCAAGCAATTAATTAACAATTTATTGCGACCATGACACAGTAACTGATGGATCACTTTATTTTACTAAAAAGAAGTAAATTGCAAAAATTTAGAGTGCTGCAGGTAGTGCCAAAACTTCAGTGAGATTTGAATCAGCAACGCTGAATCAGAGTTGAGGCCCCCAAAAAAAAAATAATAATAAAACTGAACATGAGAAGAGTTAAGACGTCTTACCATATTAAAAACTAGACAAAACAGGATTGGTACTAGCAAGTTTAAATAAGTTATTAAGTTTGAAAAGTTAATTTAGAATGTGAAAATTAAGAGAATAACAAACCATTGCTCAAGCAGATTCTCTTCAATTCTGTTTCATCGTGTAAGTCCCAAAGCATGTTGATTTTGGAAGAGTGAATGTAGGTCTTCCATCCATTGTTTGATTTCCTTCCTCCTTTTCAATGCTATTACTCTTTGCAATCATGAACGTGAAGATCCCGTAGCTTTTCAAAGGGAAACAAATTCTTCATTCTTGAACATCTAATAATTACACAAAATTCTTTAATTAGAAAAAGATGTGAGGGAATGTTGGTGCATACAGGCCATGCATGAGTAGTTGCTGTTCCTTTCACTTTCACATGATCACACATGAATCACCGTGATTGGTAATTATAAAGGAATTAGCATCCAATTAAGAGAGATAGACATCATATGGAATTTGTTAAAGTAAAATCTAAAAGCACACAAATCTTGAAAATTTACTAGTGTAGAATAGGAAGGTAGAGGCAGCTGGTACATAAGAAAGCACAATCTGAAAGCAGGAGGAAAGATAGTGAAGGGCTGCAAAAATGTGTTCTGGCAGGGAACTTAAGATGCTCAAGTTAGCCACGGAAGTTTTTAACAAAATCAATAGATCAAATCTGAGAGAAATTCATACCTTGGGTCTGTTATGGCCTATGTATAGGTTGAATGGCTGCAAGAGTTGAGCAATAAGCCAACTATACCAACTCATATATATCCTATTCACATACACTCCATTAAGTCAGATGCTGAGCACCAGGGCTCAGCTTCAGAGAAGCAATATATAAGAGCCCTGCAACATGGTTCAATAGGTTGTGTGATACAGGGAAAACATAGTAATGACATTTGGATAAACAAATAAGAACCATAATATGAATTGAGGAGCAATTTGGTGAAGACGGTACAAAATCCTTTAAAACCGCTTAATATTTGGATGAGAAAAATAGAATCAACTAATTACTAGTGTAGGGGCAGCCAGAGGCAAGAAAGCGCATTAAATCAATCTAAATTCTGCTTAGTCTTTTGGACTTGAAAATAATGGTTGATCTCCAAATATGGGTGTGTTGGCTGCAGAAAATCTAAATGTAAGTCACAGAGACTGTCAAGTTAGCCACAAAAGAGTTTAACTAAATTGATAGATCAAATAAATATGAGAGAAATTCATATAATTGAATATAATTGTATAGATACATAACTAGTGTCTGCTGTGGCCTACATATATATATGTGGGTTCAATTGCCACAAGAGTTGAACAATAATGTGATTAAAGAAATTAAGATGTTGAGGTTGATATAGTTAACAATCACAAAACATAAAACAAGAAATTTCTCAAATCTGTTTTACTGCTTATTACAACACAAAATAAAACAAGTATTACTTAAACAAGCATTAATTAAACAAAGTTTATCCATAGTACAAAACAACAAATTACCACAAAGATTTCATTGGATTGAAGTGAGTGTGAGTCCCATTTTTTTTCTGTTTTCCTTTAGCTGTATATTTTGTCGAGTTGAAGAAATAGGTTTGAGATGGTAAGAGATGCAGCCTGCACCAGCATGTATGGAGAAATTACTTAATTCTAAGGATGCAAATATTAGTCAGCCAAAAAAAAAAAGGAAAAAAGAAAAATGTTCAAGAAAAATATAAACATATATACCTGGACTGGGCATTAGAAAGTGGACACAGATTGACCAGATTGATATTCAATGGATGACTCAAGAAATCCATTCAGGTTCTTGCTCCCTACGAGTGAATAATTTAAAAGGAAATTAGCATCCAATTAAGGGAGATGGACATCTCATCAGAATCAAATCAACAGACATATATACCTGAGCTGAGCTACGCATTAGAAACTAGTCAATTGATAATTGAAACTCGTAGAGGCAAAAGGAAACGCTAAACAGACTCATATGTAATATTTACCCAAGTGTCCCAGCTGTGAATAACCAAAAAAGGAGTTAGCGAGACAGACATCTTATTAGTAAATCAATCAAGATTAGATAATTGAGCAAATCAACGGAGATTAACACTTGGATTCATTCAAAAACAAGAGATAGAAACATTTATTTATGAAATACCAGTGAGAAAGGAGGAATGGAATGCAAGTGATGGAAAAAGGGAGACTAATGAGACTTACCAGATCTCATTATATTTGAGGAAAGGTAGGAGGACAATCTTATCGTCAGGATACTCCCACTCCAACGATTCCCACCATTCTTCTGGATTGTAAATAAAGATATATTTGACAGCAGGAAGAGATGGTTGCGCGTTTTCCCTTCTAAGACAAAGGGGAATCCTCTTTACCTTCACACAGGCATTGATCTTGATGCTATTGAGAGATTCACAAACCATTACTCCTCTTTCGGGGCAGATTCTCTTCAATTCTGGTAGGAATTGCAACTTCAATATCCTTAATTTTGGAAGAGTGATCAATATTGGAGTAGTTGTTTGATTTCCTTCCTCTTCTTCTTCCCATCCTATTATTTCCTCCATCCCCTCACAATCTTTCACCTCAATCAGCTCCAAGTTTTGGAGGCCCTGACCCTGCAGCAGCTCCCATGGAAAAAGCTTCTTCAATTTTGGACAATTGCATACCCTCAGCTGTTTAAGATTGGGAAAGATGTGAAGGGATATTGTCGGTGCAAGCGATGCTCTTATTTTTTCCACTTTCAGAACATCCCTCAAGCTAATCAAATGCTCAAGAATTAATACTTCAAGGTTATTCATAACTGCCAAGGAAGTAGATGAAGATGATGACAAAGAGACCACACACACTATCCCTTCGCAATATTTGAAAGCACATGTTCGCAATTGAGTAAAATCTTTCTGAAAAAAAGAAATATCACCGACCGCATTGCAGGATTCAATCCTCAAATCCTGGAGGTCATCTGGAAGGACAAACTCATCTTCTTCTCCTATCTCGCATCTGTTTAAAATTACCCGTTTAGTAAGATCATTATTGTTGAACTTCCAAAAATGCCCCTCCTTGTTTTTGTCTTTGCCTCCCACTTTGATAAAGTAATGACTGGGTCTTCCAAAAAGGTTCAACTTGCTAACAAAACTGCTGTAGTCTTTCATCCAATAAAATCTACCTTCAAACCATTCCAGCATCTTCAATCCTGCTACTTCTTCTCCTCTTATTTCAGTTGAAACAATCCAATGTTTACGTAGGTATTGGAGGCGGAAGAGCTTACTGATTTTTCCTCTTGGTAGCACCCTCAGGTTGGGACAAGATAAATCAAGATATTCTAGATTTTCTAACATTTCAATGCCTTTAGGAGCCTTACAAAGGCCTGCTCCATCCAAATCCAACTTCTTCAGTGCTTTAAGCTTTGACAAGGAAGGCATGCGTTTTAAACGCTTACATCCACAGAAGATCAGTGCAGTGAGATATTCCAAGTTACATATGGAATTAGGTAGAACCTCAATGCTAGTTCTAGAAAGATCAAGAAACTTCAGCCGAGGCATGTTAGCAAAAAACCACTCTGAAATTTGTCTCAATCCTTTATTGCCCTCCAAAATCAAGGTTGAGAGCATCAAGCATTTGGGGGACATATTTTGAGGGATATCTGATATTAGATTTTTCATGAGGGAGACCTTGTCTAGATCTTCATTCCATTCATCCTCATCCGGTATCTCTTCCAATCTCATTCCAGCTTTTACCATAAACCTGCCAGGACCCGTGCTCTTGATGCGCAATGCCATGTCCCTCACAACATCATGCATCTTAACACACGCCTTTTTATTGGCTTCCTCTAACAAACAACAGTTTAAAAGCCTATTTAAAATAGCATTTCCTTTATCATGCATTTCTCTTCTGCTTCCTAATTTTTGAACAGTTCCCTCACAAATCCAGTTTTCAATTAGATCTTTTCTTCTAATATTCCAATCTTCCAGGTACAATGAGCAGTATAAGAAACACTCTTGGATGCTTGAATTTTTTGGTAGACGGTCATAACTGAACTTCAAACGATTAAATATCTCATCTTCTGAATCTTTCTCTGTGTCCACCACACATTGACGCAATTCACGTAATGCATTTCTCCACTCAGAAATATCTTGTACTCCTCTCATGCTCCCCGCAATGACAACAATGGCCAATGGCAAACCAGCGCATTCAGCCACCATAAGCTTCAAAATCTCTTCCAAATTGGGAATTTGTAGAACATCTTGCCCAACCTTCTCTAAAAACAAGGTCAAAGACTCTTGCTCTGGTAGAGGTGGTACTTTAACTACCTGACATTTCAAGTAGTTGCATACATCAATCGATCTGCTAGTAATAACAATTTTACACCCATTTTCCATTGTTGGTTCTGGGATTCCAATTCTGTGAAGAGTAAATTTATCCCATACATCATCTAAGATCAGTGCATATTTAACTTTTTTCATAGCCTCCATCAGTCTTGATGCCCGACTCAATTCATCACAACAATCTGAAAGACTTTTCTCCGTTGCCTTGTCCATTTTCCTAGCAATGCCATCTTGCAATCTGAAAACATTGATAGGATGTGATACTGTAACCCAGACGACCTTCTCAAACCTGCTAG